TTACTCTGCATAGGTAGTGGGTCGGCGGTCACCAAAGCCGGAGTCCGTTAAAGCATCTATTGCTCAATCAACTAGCCTTGGGACAGAAGCTAACGAGCGCGACCTGCGCTCGTCCTTCGTTGTGATTTTGGCACAACAACAGGTCGATGGGCTCAGGGTTTGTTGATAGCCCAAGTGTGGGCCTGGATTGACCGGGCCTGGTCCTAGTGGTAGTAGCCAATGCTCCGATGAGAGCGTTGAAGTCCGAAGTGGAGGCGGGTCCCATGGTAACCGCCGCTGCAACCTGTACTGTTGCGGGCCTCCCGACAGTACCCTGGGCAGGCTCACACCCAAAACTCTCGCAGGCAGACGGCGGGGGCGGACTGTACCCCGCAACAGCCCCCACCATCCTTGAGTTGTAGCCCCACAGGCTCATTCAGAATGCTCTCCAATTGGGAAACAGGAGAAGCCACAACCACGGACCCCGGCACTTTCCACGCACGTTGATCTCTCCGGTTTGTGCTTCAATGCTGGTGGGATGAAAAATTATCGCCAGCATCCCCCATATGCAGGAATCCCACGGGCCCACGGAGAGAAGTGCGAGGTCAAGGTCCTCGACTGCCGTGACGGCCACCCGTATCCTGTGGCTCGCGCGCACGCCGTCAAACGGGCGAGGCTGCTCTGGCGTGACTTGCAGACAACACGCCACATACCCTTGTAAGGGTATTTCGTACGACACCGTTCCCTCAATCGGACCACATCTGCCCACGAGTAGGCGTGGAAGCAGGGCGACCTGCACTGCGGGGGTGACCACGTCCCCTCTTACCGCGCTTCGAACTACAGTCCGATCTCGAGAAAGAGCTTTGTGAGTCGTCAAATGATCCCCCAGACCCATAACTGTCTGAAGCAGAATCAACCACAACATCAACGTCACCTCCTGATTCGGTCAGAAGATCTCCCAAGTGAAAATCAGGATCACACACACGTGTGGGCAATGTCGCCGAAAGCGCATCTTCAATGGCGTCGCTGTACTCTTTCTTGATCGTCGGCAAAGACCAATGCATCAAACGATCGACGGCGTCACTAATGGGTTCACGTGCACCACTCACAGCAGTCATGGCATCGTGCACCCTGCGAAGTTTGCCACGACAACCTGCTTTCACGCACAGTCGTACGACATCTGCCGAGGCAGAAAACCGCGCAGCACCATCGTCATCTCCAAGACCGGCGTCGTCCGAGCAATCAGGAGCGACACGTGAGGCAGAATGAGAAAGCGAAGGCAAACGTCCTCGACTCCCAGCCAGACTGACGAATCCATCATGGGAAGGTTCCACATGGCAACATCATGGAGGACTCCCCCCAAAGCGTAACATCATGATTTTGTGATTGATTGATCGATTCGTCCAGAGCCGCACACATATCATTGTATGTGTGTGTTTGTATGTGTGTATGTGTGTATGTTAAGTGTGCGTGCGCGCGTGTGTGTGTGTGTGTGTGTGTGTGTGTGTGTGGTTGATTCACTGGTTGGTTGGAACAGTCATGGATCAGTTGAATGATTGATTGATTGATTGATTGATTGATTGACTGACTGACTGATTGATTGATGGATTGAATAATTGAACAGTTGGTTGGACCAGTTGATTAGACCAGTTGTTGGGATTAGTTGGTTGATTGATTTTATGATTGATTGATGGGTTCTTCGATTGAATGATTGAATGATTGATTGATTGAATAGTTGGTTGGATCTGTTGATTGGACCAGTTGTTGGGATCCGTCGATCGATTTATCTTTTGAATGATTGACTGACCGATTGATTGATTGATTGACTGGTTGAATAGTTGGTTAGATCATTCGACCGCTACCCCCCGTCAGTCATTCGAATAATGAGGAAATCAGTCAGTCACTGAATAAATCATTAGATACGTCCAAGAAAAAAAATAAACTAACTTACAAAAACCCAAAAAATCCAAGCTTTGTACATAAAAGGTCAGCGTTGTGTGTGTATGTGTGTGTTTATGTGTTTATGTGTGTGTGTGTGTGTGTGTGTGTGCACACACACACA